AAAGAAGAAGATCAACACATACAAAACGCTATAAAGACCTGCGAATACCCAACAGGGGCAATAAACAAAGGAAAACAACAAACAAAATAAATGAGCAGGTGAGATGCCTGAAAATTCACTTTGGAAGAAAGATCTGAAAACTGCAAAAAAAGCACCACTCCTATACAGGGTTTCCTCCAGTGCTTTATAAGCCTGGCGGGCAGCCAGGCTTTGCTTGGCCACCCGCCAGGCTAAGCGTCATGCCCCGCCCCCCTCCCCGACCCTACCGTGTCTGCTGACACGAACGGCGCAACAAAACTAGAGCCCTCCATCTGCTGATACTGGTGAGAAACCGTAGCGGAACCTGTGCAACTACCCCACTCCTGCTCTCACAGAGGATCGCTGCGGGACGGAGTGCGCAATCATTTTTTTTACTGTGTGGGCGTTGGAATGAGCCCCCTCACCGTGAGAACAACCCCCCCGCCCCGCTCTCACGGAGGAGTGCTGCGGGACGGAGCACGCGATACGCTGACACGAACGGCGCAACAAAACTAGAGCCCTTCATCAGCTGATACTGGTGAGAAACAGCAGCGGAACGTGTACAGCCACCCTACCCCTACCCCAGCTCCCACAGAGGAGCGCTGCAGGACTGAGCGCGCAATCATTTTTTTTACTGTGTGAGCGTCGGAATGAGCCCCCTCACCGTGAGAACAAACTTCCGAGCTCTACAGCCGATATTCTTCCGTGTATGTCACACGTCACATGATCAGGAAGCAGAAAATCCATGTGTCAGGAGATCGTTTTGGGCCGCTGCTGTAAAAAAAGTGAGGCAAGAACCGGAAAAGCTTCTGCTGATCACAATTCACCAACGGATTATGAAAGAACGGATAACGCTCTAAATGCGCTGATTCTTCCTGATGTAAAAGAGGTGAGTCTACTCTTTGTTTTGGTAGTTTTGGTGTTGACATCATCCTAGAGCGCAACGTTCTGTGACCCTTAAAAAAACAGTAAAAACGCTGAAAAATGCTGGCAGCGAAGGGGTTTTCTGATCAGAAAGCGGCTGGCAGAAAATGAGTTAAAGACCGAGGTAACTAATTCCACCTTTGGAAGTTAGATTTGAGCTGGGTGATCAGAGGTGAGAAGTTACAACCATACAACAAGGATAAAGAACGAGTTACACTGACTCCTAATTGCTTGATTTCAGGGCTAAACTTAAATGGAATATCAGACTATTTAATTGCTAAACCTAAGGGATTTATTGGAAAACATTTGCTAATAGAAAGATTAATATTGTAGACAAAGAGCCAAGCCTGTTTAACAAAGATACTATAAGTGGTACACAGGATTGATTTTCAACTAGGACAGAGGATCAGAAACATACAAAAGCAAGTCGTTCATATAGGGATCATTTTATTTCAAGGTCGGATCGACAAATACCACTAAATTGAGCAAGGGACTTCCAAGCCACAGAATTGGGTTCAGTGATATGTGCCACGTGACAATGTGATGAGCAATGCCATCCGTACATGTAGATTAAGACCGCTCCATATTTGTCATCATGCCTCTGACTCCCGCTGACTGGTCCGTTTTCAGTGCTTGCATGTCAGACCTGATAGACATGAGAGTCTCCCGTGCTGCTTTCAGCTCCTGTGTTAGTAGTGTCGAAATCTCCCCATGAAGTGCAGAGAGGAGCTCAGCCTTCATGGAGCAGTTAATTTCCAGGCTGAGGTAAGGTCTCACCACGAGGCGGGAATGTAATGAGGCACTGGGCTGCTGGGTGGGCTGGGAAACACCGGCAGTTTTACCATAGAGTCAAACCTATCACAACAAACCACTCAAAATGAGAACAAAATAAAATCACAAACGTGCACCTAAAAACATCAAATGTTTACTCTTTAGGAGTGACACATGATGAGACCTACGCCATCTTGGGCCTAACTGGAAGTTGCAGCAGGATTTATTATGAGTTCACATTTTAAGTATTTCTGTTTTGACCAGATGCCCAAGCCACCTCAACTGGCTCCTCTCGACATGGAGGAGCAGCGGGTCTACTATGAGCCCCTCCTGGTGACAGAGCTCCTCACCCTATCTCTAAGTGAGAGCCCAGATACCCTGCGGAGAAAACTGATTTTAGCCGCTTGTATCCACAATCTCATTCTTTCGGTCACTACCCAAATCTCGTGACCAAAGGTGAGGGTAGGAACATAGCTCGACATTCCTACTTATCTGATTAATTTAATCACTTCATGTTTTTTCAATTCAATTCAAGTTTATTTCTAAAGCGCCAAAGCACTTCACATAGTAAACATTCCAATACAGGTCAGTTCATTAAGCCAATCATTAAAATGTTTCCTATATAAGGAACCCAGCAGATTGCATCAAGTCACTGACTGGTGTCAGTGTCAGTGTCTGTACAGCAATCCTCATACTAAGCAAGCACATAGCGACAGTGGAGAGGAAAACTCCCTTTTAACAGGAAGAAACCTCCAGAGAATCCTGGCTCAGTATAAGCAGCCATCCTCCACGACTCACTGGGGATCGAGAAGACAGAGCAGACACACACACACACACACACACACACACACACACACACACACACACACACACACACACACACACACACACACACACACACACACACACACACTAGGGCTGCACAATATATCGAAAAATTATCGTCATCGCAATAACAGGACGTGCGATAGGCCCACTGCAAAGCACGTCAGAAACGGCGATAAATGTTTGGTTCAAACATTTCCATCCGTGTCATACATCATCTTTTTGTAAACCTGCTCTGTTTTTACACTGAAGTATTATTTGACCAATCAAATGTAGCCCCTCTGATATGCGGCCAATCAGATGGGTCCGTTCACGTAATACGCCCGCCCCCTACGTAGACCCTTACCCCAAAATTCCACTATCTCCGCCCCGCTTTCCGCTGCCGCTCGCTTCCCTTGTTCGTCTTGCTGGCTCAGATTAACGAACGCTCTTTGTGATGAGGTTTCTGGAATCAGCGCTGCTTTCAAACGTGAACGTGAGTCCGCTCGGTGTCGTTAAGCAGCTGATAATAACCGGGCTGACTCCGACACGTGCCGGTGAACCAACCCACCTTCATGTCGCTAGTGTTCCACCGGGTGGTGATGTTAGCCCCAGGCTCCGGTTAGCTTCCAGCTAAAAGGCTACAGCACTCTCCTCCCAGTCCCACCCTGCTAAAGAGGCCTGGAAAAGTTCCCCCACACATCAAAGTGATTTTTCATTCATGAGCTTTTATAAGGATAAGAAAAACATTTACTCAACTTCCATCTGAAAAGAGATAATATTAAATAAGGTATATATTAGGGATGAGCCGGATACTCGTTTCAGACGAGTATCCGGTATGGATAAAGCATTTTTGACGAATACGAGCATGAGACGAGTAAACCTCAGAAATATCTGTAATCGTGCTGAAGGAAAATCCTCATTGGGTAACTGACTGTCTTCACGCTCTGTGATTGGCCGGTCACATAGAGCGCCCGCCCCTCCCTACACACAAAACTCTCTAGCCGGCCTGGAGCTCAGTCCGTCCGGTTCATCCACACACACACAGACAGTAACGGATCTCGCTGTGATTGCTTCACTGTTGCTCACGTTTCTTCAGTTTTCCCTAGGTTTTCTTCAGCTCGCCTCTTTTTCAGTTGAATATTTAAAGTTACTTTTTTCGTAACTTACTGTACATGGTGCGTTTGACAAGACAGAGTTGACGTGCTGCATTAACTCACTACCTCCGCTCCAGTTGGGTTTTTTTATTTTTTAACTCCATCTCTCTCCCTCTCACCCTCTCTATCTCCCTCAGACACACACACCTTAATCAACATTGTTTTGTTTAACTTTGTGTGGGGCAAAATGCCAAGAACGTTAAGAAAAAAATCAGTTTAATCAAATTAAAATAAAAAAATATATATAAAGTTGTGTCTGGTTCTAGCATTTGATATTTCCTAGTTCCTACTGCATGAGTTCAGATGTATTAATCCATGCACTTAAATATTAATGTTCTGATTTTATTGAAACACTTCTTTTGTAATAGTTCCTTTACTATTGTGATCAAAAATATTTAATCTCAATTCTGAGGCTGCTCTGTAAATAGTTTTCAATAAACAATACACATATCAACTTCTGATCAATCCATATCAATTTCAGACTTAAAATAATGTATTGATGTAAACCACCACACCCACTTCCGGTTAAACCACGCCCACTTCCGGGTTATGCCACGCCCATTCCGAGTACAGATAAAGATCATTTAGTTGGTTGAACAGATACAGATACAGAGAGTGGTGTACTCGCTCATCCCTACTTATAAATGACTTTTGGGATAAATCTACCTACATTTTCCTTTTCAAGCTTTGTTTTATTTTCTTGTTTATTTGACTGTTTTCCTGTCCTGTCTGTCTGTTTTTTTCTGCATCTCCTCCCAATCCCCAGGAAAACTGTTGCCTGGGTTTTCTACTTTTTCACCTCATGAGGTACTTTTGAACTAAGCACATCAAAGGCTACCGACCGCAAAACAGGGGACTGCGCGTTGCCCGGCTGTGCCAGAGAGGTGAAGTCACCGGACCACGGGTGATGAGTTCTGCTGCAGCGGAGCGTGTCGGCATCGCTCCAGTTTGCCACCTCAGCTGATTCCTTAGCTTAACTTACTGCACATGTTTACGTCCATTTTTAATATAGTTACCGGCCGGAGCTCGGCGGACATTTCACACGCAATCTTGATGCCACTCTCTGCTTCGCCGAGGCATAATCTTCAATTACATGTCCGACCTTGTGGTAATATTACTACCAAGCATGGTAGCAAAAAAAATTTGCCCCGTTGGTGTGTCTTATGTGAACGTGGCTAAAAACTCTACTGCCGCCACCAGCATCAGAATTAAGGCCCAATTACAGAGATGGTGGATGAGCTGATGAGGGATTTTATCTCATTTACCTGCAAGATTAAGGTAACTCACGAGTTTTAATAGCAACATTTGAACTCATCTTTGTTTCAGGAGCCTTTTTTCTAGGAGATCCAAAGAGCCCAAGGCAGCGCCCCACAATGCACCAGGA